TTTTTTTTGGGAGAGATGTTTTTTTAGTACATATTATATTTTTTTTATCAAAAAAATCATTAATATATAAATATAAATATTTATATCATTTTAATACTTAAACCATAAAAAAAAAATACAATCAATAATAAAAAACACATTTCTAATGTACCAATAAGAAAATCATCTTTGGGTCGGAAAAGGCCCAATATTGGATACTAGTTGATCATGGAGTGGGTCTCATATGAACCCACATCATCAATGCCATAAAACATTCGGGGCAATATCGTATTCGGTTTCACAGTTTAGGCTTTACCATTCTACATGGGATAAGATGTTTGCCCCTTTGTAGAGAATAAAATGAACCGTAAGAGATTGCTAGCTGTATTAGAGGGATGCGGAAGCATTGTAAAGCTAAAAAAGATCCATGCCTGTGCCGTAACCTTAGGACTGCTACAGAATCACCAATCTTTAGCATCCAACATACTCACCGTCTACACCAAACTAGGCCACCCACAACATGCCCACAAGCTCTTCAACCAGATTCAGGACCCAGATATAGTGTCATGGACGTCTCTGATCTATCTTCATCTACGCGAAGAAGATCCCAACACTGCTTTCTTGGCGTTTTCGCGGTTGATAAATCGCGGTTTGAGGCCGGATAGTTACTCAGTCGTGGGTTCACTATGTGCTTGTGGACTCGACAAGAGTTTGTTAGGTGGGAAGGTGGTTCATGGAATGGTGTTAAGATTTCAACTGGGTTTGGATCCGATTGTAGGGAATGCTCTCATTGATATGTATAGTCGGAATGGGGAGATTGAAGTAGCTCGGAGGGTGTTTGAGGGTATGGGGGTTAAAGATATTGCTTCGTGGAATACATTGATTAATGGGTTTGTGATGTGCGGTTATTTGGAAGGAGCTCGGGATGTGTTCGATGAAATGCCACTGAGAAATTGGATCTCTTGGACGGCTATGATGACTGGGTATGTAAGAGGGAAGGCACCGGTGATTGCGTTGAAACTTTTCAAAGAAATGAAAATAGAAGGAAAGAATCAGCCTACTGCAATCACAGTCGTGTCTGTCCTTTCCGGTTGTTCTGATATTGGAGCTCTTGATTTCGGAAGTTCAATTCATGGCTATGTTAATAAAACTTATCTTACTGAGGATGTTACTGTGAGTAATGCTTTGATGGACATGTACTCGAAGAGTGGAGACCTTGATGTGTCCTTGAAGATTTTTGGTGAAATTGGTGTGAAGAAAGATGTGTTTTCATGGACAACAATGATATCGGCATATGCAACTCACGGGAAGGCAGAACAAGCACTTGAAGTTTTCTCAGCCATGTTAGAATCAGGAGTTGCCCCAAATAAGGTCACATTTCTTTCAGTTTTATCAGCTTGTACCCACGCAGGATTGGTTACTGAAGGACAGAGATTGTTCCAGGAAATGGTTGTAAGGTATAGGTTGAAACCCAGGATTGAGCATTACGGATGCTTACTGGATCTTCTCAGTCGAGCAGGGCATTTAGAAGAAGCAAAAATCTTGATTGACAACATGCCTGTAAGCCGTGATGCTCCCATATGGAGGTCATTTCTTAGTGCTTGTTTGCTTCATGGGAACTTGAACTTGGCTGAAATGGCAGGGAAGAGGGTTGTGGAATTAGAACCTGATGATGATGGGGTTAATGTACTTCTATGGCAGATTTGTTCTGCTGCAAATAGGCAGGAAGATGGATTGAAGATCAGGAAGTTGATGAGAAATCATAAGGTTAAGAAGAAACCTGGATGTAGTTGGCTTGAGTTGAATGGTGTTATTCATGAACTCCTTGCAGAGGATGCATTGCACCAGGATGTTGGTAGAAAAATTCATTGGGTTTTGGATAGCATTAGAGAACCATCAAAATTGGATTTTGGTTGGTCTTGTTTGCCACTAGAAAACTGATTGGCTCTGTGTGTATGTTTACTGTGTCTAATACTTTGATGGACATGTAGTAAAAGAGCAGAGACATGTGCTAAAAGAGCAGAGACCTGATGTGTCCATTGTTCCATGAAAATTTTCTGTGAAAAAGGGGGGTGAAGAAAGATGTGTTTTCATTGGCAGCCATGATATGAGGATGTGCAAACCATGGGAAGACAAAGCAAGTGTTCGAAGTTTTCTCGGAAAAGTTTTCATAAATTGTCCCAGATGAGGTGAGATTTCTATTAGTTTTATGACCTAGTACGTTGGTGGGGTTTTTTCATGGAAGCATAGATTATTTCAGGAAATGATATGAAAGTGTAGTTTGAAACCTAGGATCAAGCATTACAGATGCTTCCTTGATCTACTTCGTCAAGCACGGGATTTAGGAGGAGCATATATCTTGATAGAGAACTTGCCCGTTGAGTTCATGGGAACTTGAACTTGGCTGAAATGGCAAGGAAGAAAGCAATGGAAGATGGATCAAAGATCTGGAAGTTGATTTGAAATCAGAAGGTTGAGTGGAAACCCAGATGTAATTGGCTTCAGTTGAATGGTGTTGTTCATGAATTATGAAGAGCACCAGAGAATCATCAAAATTAAATTGACTGGCCTTTCTGGAAATTGCTTTGGATGATTTTTAAATTTAAGAATGGAGCGGGACAGAGCAGTACATCCACATACTAACACCTCCCATTCTGCTTAAAGCCTAAAGGGTGTCTTAAAACTCATAAGAGCAATGGCGGAACCACATTGGTTGGGTTATGGTAGGGTCCGTGTGCTACCCTAGCCCAAAGAAAATTTGTAAACTGTTTAGGGCCTACAATATTTGGGATTTTTTTTATTTGAATAATCAGAATATTTTAAATAAGGAGGCAGTAATTTTACAATTTGTCCTACACAGACTTCACATTATAATGGGATCACCCCACATTCAGGGAGTTGCTTTTCATTAATGGTTATGAGATGTACTTTAAGCCAAATATTTAAACGAATGGAAAGAGGTGAAGAAAGTTTTTTAAGCAAAATTTGCTGATAAGCAATTAGTGATAAGTGAAGAAGATGATATGGGCAAATCAATTATTATTATTATTTTTTGTTTTGTCTCTGTCTAAAGTATTTTGAGCATATGTTTAAATATTTCACTTGAAAGATTGATTTTGCTTTGATTTGAATTTTTTCATTTGCTTTGGTTTTTTTATTTTCGAGTTTACAAATACAAATCCATGCATGATTAATTTTACCTAATTAAATTACTGTTCAAGCATTACTAGTTTTTCATAATAAACTTAAACTTAACTGATGTTATTTGCCACATGAATCAAAATGATGGTTATTTCTAAGTTCAAGAATTATATAAATTAAAAACTGCATTGAGTATTCCATTCGGTCTTTTAGCACAAGACCCTACCCTTAATAAAATTCTGTTTCCATCACTAGTTAAAGGGTTTTAGAATTCAAGTTAAACATTTTATATTTAAACTTTGATAAGTGAAGAAGGGATATGGAAAAGAGATATTAGCCCATTTAATTATCAAATGTATACAAATTATCAAATCAAGTACTCTATGTATTTAAAAATTTCTATGCTCTAAGAGATTGACCCATGGATTTTCCTTTTTGGCGACCGTTCCGGGCTTCATCTCATATTTTCTAGGGTTGCTTCGGTTTATGTTCTGCTTCTTTGGGGGATTAGCCTCTAGGGGTTATCCTTCCGGTCTTTTTTTGGTGGCTTTGGCATTGGTAGCTACATATGGTGATTGATTGGGACGGAGTCTCGAACTTGGCTTTGGAGTTTAGGATGTCTATATCAGCAACCGTGGAGGCTTGGATGTAGTGGAAGGGGTGGAGGCAGCGAGCAACTAGAGTGGAAGGAGTCTCCTACCAAAGGAACTGTTGTATATGTATTCTAGTTTAAGCGTCAAACGGCAGAAGCTGTGTGTGATTTCAAAGTCTATTAGTGTTGAAGCTGCTCGGAAAGAGGGCGGTTTGGTGGCGGGTGGCCCGGTGGCAACTTGGATACAGCTGGCGGGCTGGGATGGTACGGATTTGTGCTTTGATGTGAAATTCTTTCTCGACATTTTCAGCAAAAAGGGGGATTGTTTGAAGAGGGATTTCTTTTCAGGCGGGGGTAGTTTTATTGATCCCTTCGTATAATATAAAGTTGTGGGTTATTATTGTTGTTATTATTTTTTATTTTATTTTCAATTACATAATGAAAAATAATTTTTTTTTTATCTCTTAAGTCATCTCAAGTTTAATTAGATAACATTACTCTATAATTGCATTGTAAGGTTTTTAGTCTTTTAATATTTTACAATATACAAAATATATTTTATATATTTAATATTTATTTAAATTAATATTTTCAATATTTTTAAAATAATAAAAAGACATAAAATTAAAAATAAAGTATCAAAAAATGTTATTAAACGATTTAGGGGTGGCTCAAAGTATTCATTTTGGTGTATAAAACTTTGTAATAATGGTACCATTTAGATATGCCTCTTTTGATGGGTAGCCATTAAGGATTATCTACAGCTCTGAAATGGAATTTAGGGGCGGGAATGCAGTACCACTGCTTTCTCATTCCATTAATATATTTATTTTGCCTTTCTCATAAAAAAAAAAAGGAAAATCAAATCTATACGTAAAAAAAAAAAAAAAAACTTTTTTTGATAGTACTGCGCATGGTGTTTTTTTCCACCAACATCTTATTTAAAAATATATA